TACACGAACAGGTAAATTAGTTTGAGGTTCGATTCAATGGTTTGCAAAAAACAGCTGATATTTATTTTTTTTCCTGTATCTAACATAATAACAGTGAAATGTTAGTGACAGGTTACTATATGATTATTTCACATTCGCTTTACAATAATATGCTTGACATGCATCAAAGAGCTAGCTTTTCTTCTGCTAATACATTTAGACATACAGAGTGAGACGTTTGGCAAAGTCTCTTTTCCCCCTTTTGTTATCTCATAAAAGTTTTAGAAGATTTTTTTGTTTATTAAAGCAGAACATATGAACAGATTAATCCAGCTTTATGTCAAAGCACCTGTTTTGTGTCAAATGTGTTTTCATTAATATCTGTGCATTATTTTAAATATTATGCCTTAAGTCTTCACTGAGATTGCAGTGATATCAAATCTGAACTTTGGTGCAGGAAGTACAGATTATTATTATCTATTGTTCTATATTTCCCACCTCTTTTTTTTACATGTGCCCTTTTGTCCCTCAGCCGTTAAAGGTTGGTGGAGTACTGCTGTCACCCTGCCAGGTGGTCGGGCAGGCAGCATGGACACCTGACTTTGTAAACACGATAACTTGAGAACAAGATAAGCCAGGACTTTCGAATTTATACCACAGGTGCATCAACTAAAAGGATTACACACATTCAGATCTTGAGGTGAAGGTCAGAGGTCTAGTTTATTTTTTAATCTTGTCAACACAAGACACATGACAGTTTTCCCAGCGTATGTTAGAGTGCTTTGACTTGAACCTTTTAGCTAAATCTATAAATATATACATGCTACACAAAGGTTTCTCATCCTGAACTGCGATGATCTTTGCAGCTGGGCAGGTGCGTGTAGGTACGACCTAAAAAGGCCGTAGCCTACTCAAATGAAAAATAAATGACAATAAGAATGAAATGTAAAATACTGTGTTCCAGGATTCATCACTGATGGAAACTCGAAGCTTCTGGGAAATGCACGTCTTCGTCAACTGAGAGTGAAGAAGAACTCATGTCAGATTGCAGGCCCCATGCTAAAGATGGTGCCAGGCTGTAGCGCTCCATATTCATGGGAAGCGGAGGACATGGGCTCCTATGGACCTGGCTGGAACACGTCTGTTGGAAATAACATCTCTGCAAGCATTTCCAGTCCCTGGACGTACCAGACACACTCTCAACTCAGAGCTTACCCCGTCTGGGGAGAATTGGCGCTCTACAGAGGGGGAGGCTTTTCAGTGGAGCTCGGCCCAGATTTACAAACTGCAACCAGGTCTGTACCTTAAGAAAAATCGAAAGAATACCCAAGATGCTCTGTTGTCTGAGAGTTAATAGTCTTCTTCGTTGGTTTTTAAAATGAATATATGGAATATATTAACAACATTAATTCTTTAATCTTTATCCACAGCACCCTCGAGTATCTGTTCAACAATATGTGGTTCAATGTGTACACGCGGGCCATCTTTGTTGAGTTCACTGTTTATAATGCAAATGTGAATCTCCTCTGCATTGTCACGCTTTTGTTGGAGTCCCCTGCTGTAGGTAAGGAGAACTGTAATGCATTTAAAGCTTTGTTAAAGAAGACTCTATAGAATGGATAACACATCAGACTTTATTACTTTTCATATGTAACTGCAATCTACATTTATTCCCTTTTTTACACCTTCATACTGAGAACTCCGTCAGCCTATGATTGAGATCACGTTAAGCTGTACGCATGTAAGTGAAGTTTTCTCTCTGACTTTACAGGAGCCTTTCAGTTAAACAGTGAAATGCAGAGTGTTCATCTCTACCTGCCAGGTGACGGCCTTTACATCTGCGTTATAACCGCTGAGATCATTTATATGCTTTTCATCCTCTATTACATGTTCAATCAGGTAAATACAAACATTATTAATACATAATGTAATCTAGTTCCAAATATTGTTTTCTATGTATCCAGTTAAATAGACTAACTTCATTTAGCCAATGAGGTTTAAACAAACTTAGACTGGCATCATCATCACTTTTTGGTTTCCTGACCATTATTTTCCTAAGAGTGAGCAGTTACTGTTTGTTACTGTGACCGGCAAGAATTAGTCTAACGTGGATTAACTACGAGTGTCGTGAGGCTGAACAGTCATTGAAGCCACTCTGCATGTTTCTATTAATCATTTTTTATTAAGTCGTTACTGCCTGTTAATCCAGAAGCAGTTAGCAGCTAAATCAGAGCATGTCAAATGCTGTGCAGCTCTACTGTACTGTAATTACGAGGATGTTGATGCTGATGTAATAGCATTAATCTTATTTGTCATTCGTAATAATCATTTTGCTTTTCAGTGCATCACTGAGTCACATGTTAATCACGTCGTTTCACTTCATTCAGGCTCATTTTGCGTGTGATCGTGGGCGTCGACCATTAACTGTAATTTCTGAGCCAATAAGCTCCTATTGTGTGCCTTTTGTTGCAGTTCCTTAAGATTATTATGGTGACATAAGCACACAGCTTATTTTACTGTATCTGTCCAGATGTCATGTAGCTACACCCCTTCTGAAATTCACTTGGAAGTCCTAAAGACTGCATGTTAAATTAATAGGTAAGAGCTTTAGACCAGCGGTCCCCAACCCCCGGGCCTCGGACCGGTCCGTGAGTCGTTTGGTCCCGGGCTGCGAGAGTTGAGGCTCAGGTGTGAAATGTATAGTTTTCAGGGTTTTTATCGGTTTTCAGCGTTATTTTGTTATCATTTTTATCGTTAACTCGGTTTTCCTGGGTCTTTTCACGTGTGTTATGAATAAATCTTCTTTTGTTTGGTACCGGTACTAGTTTTATTTTGTTGTATTTATCTGTGACACCTTAAAGGCCGGTCTGTGAAAATAATGTCGGGCATAAACTGGTCCGTGGCACAAAAAAAGGTTGGAGACCTCTGCTTTAGACAACATATAATCTCAATTATTAAGAAGCCTAAATATCCATAAATGTGCAGTGCTATTTTTGTCTTTGTATTGCTCTCTCATAAAGATTTTTAGGGTTAGATAAACAGTATACAGTAAATGCTTATACTTAAAAACTTCTTATGTGAGCACTGAGACTTTCATTAAATATGATCAGATTATTTTCACATGCATTTGGGCATCATGGGACAAATAAGCACTTTTATTTGTGCAAATTGTCAACATATGTTTGGGGGTGTTCCTGCTAAAACCTCAACAAATGCATGAGCGTGCAGACAACCCCCTGCTGGATTACATAAGAGCTGTTGCTCTCACTTCTTTTCCTGGAAAGGGGAAATTAATGAAGCAGCAGCGTTGGCTTTACTTCAAGAACAAATGGAACCTTCTGGAGCTTTCTATCATCCTGCTGAGCTGGAGTGCCGTGGCCGCCTTTATCCAGAGGACTCTGATCACGAACCGTGATATAGCATACTACCAAAACCACAACGACAAGTGAGATTAACGTAAAACTCTGCTTTAATTTTAGCTGTTTAACTGCAAAAACATGCCTCTCCCATGCTTGGTGTTATGTGGTGGGTTGTTGTTTCACTCCACATCTTTCCTGTTTTTATAGGTTTGTCAGTTTTTACCAGACAGGCACATCAGAATCACTTTTTCAGTATCTGATGGCTTTCCTGGTCCTGCTCGCCACTGTCAAACTGTGGCACCTGCTTAGACTTAACCCAAAGATGAACATGATCACAGCTGCACTGCAGCGAGCCTGGACCAGCATAAGTGGTCTTCTTCTGATCATTGTGATCATGTTGCTGGCTTATTCCATTGCAGTAAGTATCTGGTTCCTTTGACCAAATCTTGACTCCTGGCAAATAAATAATTTTGTATTTACATGGACAAGAACAGAACGATTTTTTTGGTGGTGGTCGGGAGGGTTATTAATTACAGCCTAATCTTAAAAGTAGAGACCGTGTCTGTCTCCTGAATCCAAACTGGAAGCTGGTTCCACTGAAGAGTACTCTGAGGTCTTTAAGATAAGATGGGGAATGCTTGTTCAAAACCGTGTATCTGAGGAGAAAACTATAACACTTTGGAGAACTTGAAAAGAGAACTTGTCTCAGATTTAACGGCGCTGCTCAGTCAAAGCAGTTTTTTAAATGTTCTCTAAAGCCTTTAATACAAAGATTTAAAAAAACATCTATTCTGAAAAATAATTAAAAAGATTAAATAATCTTAATAATTTGAGAAAATAAACGTTTTAGTAAAATAAACAATGTTTTAAAAGTCAAGAACTCAACTTTTTGGAAACACTGAACATTTTGACTTTGTCTAATCAATATAATTTAAATTAAAACCATCCAGTAGTTTGATAAATTACATAAAAGTCCAAAACAAAAGGACAGCTGATGCTAATCTTTTCCACTGTGTGCATTAGAGGACTTGAATAGTGATGAGCGTTGACTGGAGAGCCGGGGCAGGTGGCGTTCATTACATTCGTAAATTTAAACTAATTCATTCTGTCATTCTGTTACAGTGTCATTATGCTTTAAACGGTGCGTGAAATACCAGTCAAGTAACCTCACTCCATTATCGCCGAGATTATTTAATGAAAATTGAAATCCATGATGGGCAGGAATGATCTCAGCGGTCCTTCTGCTGATCTAATGGTAATTTCTCTCCTTTAGTGTAACGTGATTTATGGCTGGAAACTATCCTCTTATAAAACTTTTATGGATGCTCTCGTGACTCTCATCGGTTTGCAGATAGGCATCTTTAACTATGATGAGGTGAGAATGATCGTCTCAGGATTTGCTGTTTTAACAAAGCACACATTAAGTCATTTCCAATTTGGTCAGTTCGTTTCAAAGTGGTAATAACATCTAACTGAGGCACTATCTTCTAGGTCCTGGCCAGCAATCCTGTGCTTGGTGGGTTACTCATTGGTTCCTGTATAGTTTTTGTGACATTCGTGGTGCTCAATTTCCTGCTCTCGGTGATCCTCGTGGCATTCAATCAGGAGCAAAAATACCACAAGGTAAGAAAAATCTGGATCATTTTTCTGTGTTTTAGTTATCCTCACCATACGATTTTAATCATTCAGTAGCAGTTGAGTAGTTCACGCATTTTAAATGTTACTGAATAACTCAGCTGATATTGTTGCTCTAGAGCAGTGGTTCTTAACCTGGGTTTGATCAAACCCTAGGGGTTCGGTGGGTGGGTCTCAGGGGTTTGGGCAGAGCCTCCGCCGTGACATGCATGGCTCTTTTTGTGCACCAGTAAAAAACATATCTACATCTAGAATTTGAAAAAAATCATATTTTATTTTTCACTAAAGAGGGGTTCAGTTAATTCGCATATGAAACTGGTGGGGTTTGGTACCTCCAACAAGGTTAAGAACCACTGCTCTAGAGGAATAAAAGCTGAGCATTGGCCCAATGGACTTTTTAACCAGGTTTTTTAAGACAATATTGGCGAGTGAGAGGAAAATAGGAAAAGAAGTGTACCGGTTCTCAAAATAAATGGGATGAGAGGATCTGTTGTAACTACACAGGGATAAAGTTGATCACATAGGAGAGTTGCTGAAGCTAGGTTAAGAGGAGAAGTGATCATCGGTGAGCAGCAGTGTGGCTTCATGCCACAAAAAAGCACAGGTGCCTTTCTTTGCTTCACTGTCTCTTTGTGGATCTAGAGAAATGTAATTCAGTTCCTGAAAAGGATAAGTGGAAGCGGATGGATGGATGGATGGATGGATGGATGGATGGATGGAACTTTGGTTCTGACGAAATCAGAGCAGCAAGGAGCTGCCATGAGGAACACCTGAAAAATAGGCCCATAGATGTGAAGGAGGATGTTCAGAGGGTTGATGTGTCACAAGAGCATAGAAGCGATAGGCTGAGGTGCCAAAAGAAGAAAAAGAAGTAACATTTGCTTATTTTCAAAAAACTCTGGTTCCCAGTGTAAAGTGTACCCAGAGAAAAGATGACATGTCCTACAAAAAGCTGCTGTTGTGTGATGCCTTAAGTTTACTTTGCAAATATCCACATTTTACTCCAGCTGTTTCCAGGCCACAGGCAGCAACCATCTCCCATTTGTTTAAAAGTCTAAATGCAACAAAATTTTACCCTGTCATGCACCTCCTAAACACACGGGCAAACTTCATTGAAATTTAAGCTTAAAAGCCAGACGAGTGCACCTCACAAAATCATTACATTCAGGTTTTGAGTGGACAAGAAGCAGACTTCCTTATTATCCAATCAGAAGTCTCTGTGTGTGAGTTTTTAAACAGTAAATCAAATACAAACTGCGCTGTAACCTGCAAACCGAAAGGTTGAGGAATTAAAAGTCAAACTCAAAATATAAAACACTAAAGTCATGAAACCAAACTGGAACAGCCACAAATTCCTAACACTTGGCTGTGTTGCTTCCATTTTTATGGGTGTCAGTTATGTAAAAGCAGAGAAGGCAAACGCTTTGTCGTGTCAGTAAAGTACTCCTTGATCTCATAGAGTAATTATTAAGAGAATTTGCTTCTGTGACAGAACATTTATTCATCAGCAGAGACCCGAAAGCTAAAAGACGGCAAAAAAAGTGAAGTCAGTTTAAAAGTATGATTGTGAATGTCTGGAGAAATATATATTTATGATGCTAATTAGCAATAATTCCTGTAAAAGGTTTCCTTGAACTCTAGTTTAAGCTACAATTTGCTGTCCAGACTGTTTGTTGGTATTTGTTAGACAGAAGCAGCTTGCTGTGTGCACTGAGGGGATTGGAGATAATGCTGATATTGTCAGGCAGGAACCGTCTGGCTCGCTATCTGAAAACGCTAAGATTACATTTCTAAAGTCGTCACTTTGTGAGTAAGACAGCCCATATGGTTCCTGAAAACACAACTTAGTCTTTACACAGAAGTCGAGAGCAGCAGCCAGTAGCTTTAGGTAATGACATCAAAGTATCCCATAGTCTGTGAGTGCAAGAGTGAATTTTATTCTGCGAACTGTAAGACTGTAGACTGTGAACTCTGCAGCTTCTGCTTAAATGCACTGAAAAAAATGCAATTGAGTGGTTGTTACATTTACAAAAGTCTAACTTGTAATTTGAAGAAAATAATGTCATGTTTCAATTAAATCATGTAGGATCTGCATGAAGTTCAACAGCTTAATTTGTTCTTGTTGAGATGACATGATAGGATCTAGTAAGAGCTTCTCACTTGTCACGAAAGTCACAAGATCACATGAGATTTCAAACTGCAGGAAAATGCAGAATCGAGTTATAAGAGGCAGACAACTATAAACACACAATGTGTGCTATTGCTAATTATTGTGGTTTAACCTGTCAAGGACAAAAACGTACAGAAAATTCTGCATCAATCCTTGAAAATCATAGCTTTCCTACTTTTGCTAAACCTGGATTGGTGGCATGATGGTTAGTGCTGTGACCTCATAGCAAGAAAGTCATGGGTTTGGCTAGTTTGCAGTGTGTTCCTTCTGAGCACTCTGGTTTCCTCCCACAGTTACCCATAAGTGTGAATGTGACTACAAATGGCTGTTTGTCTCTAGGTAATAGACTGGTGAGCTGTCCAGAGTGTACCCTCCTCTTACCCTATCACTTCTCGGTTATGCCCCTGCAACCCAGATAAAGATAGGAGGGTGGAAGTTGTTGTAAATCCATTCACTTGTTATGTCAACCAGACTCTAGACCAGGGGTCTCAAACTCCAGGCCTCGAGGGCCGGTGTCCTGCAGGTTTTAGATGTGTCCTTGATCCAACACAGCTGATTCAACGTGTCTTGAAGTTCTCCAGAAGCCTGGTAATGAACTAATCATTTGAATCAGGTCTGTTGACCTAGGGTGAGATCTAAAACCTGCAGGACACCAGCCCTCGAGGCCTGGAGTTCGAGACCCCTGCTCTAGACTTTGTTGAACATTGAACATACAACATGTAGTATTTAAGTGACCAAGTAGTATTGGGATAAAAGTTAGTGAATAGTGTTGGAATAAAGTGACAAAATTGTGAAAGATTAAAATATTCCAAAACCTCATTTTACTTCATCTAAACAGGTTTCAATCATGTTTTATCGATACAAAATGCACAGGTTTGTTGAATATGAATAAGTTGTATTGCTTTAATTTAGTTGTTTAAGTTTCTGCCAAAGCAAAACAATTGTATGCAACCACTGTCCACTATTGAATCCGACATGTTCTTTTTTTAAGTGCAATGTTACATAACTGCAATTATTCAGATTAACTCAGGGCACTTTGGAGGGTTGTGAAAGCTTTTAATGATCTATTTCACTGGTGGCAATTAAGAGACATTACATAATTCAGTAGTCAGTGATACTTGTTCGCGCAGTTTAACTGAGACAGCTAAGAGAATGCAATAACATCTTTCACTAAGGATTCCAGGTTAAAAATATTCTGCAGGATAAAAAGCAGCAGAATCAAACTGACCAAAAATTGCCTCCAGGCCAGCAGGCTGTTTCTGCCCGTTTGGTTTTGACCTGAGGTGTAATTCTCAGTGTTAATTAAAGCGTTCTGCATTCAGACAGTGTCCATTCTGTTAACTTTTAGTGGTTTTCTAAGTCGCTGAGTGGGACTCTTAAACAGGAGTCACAGCAACAGTTCAGCATGGTTTATTTATTTATTTCTATTTTTCAAATAAATGCTTTTACAAAGGGAAAACATTGATGTAAGTGAGGAAGCACAGCGGTTTTATTGTTAAAAAGTAACCATAGGAGCTGAACTGTACACCCACATTTTAGGATTTCAAACTTGCACGAATATGTGCAAATGGTCAAAAGATCTCTCGCCATCTGCAGTTCTTTATTATGGATTTTGAATCTGTGCTTCCTTACCCAGCCTTCTGAAGAGGAGGAGATTGTCGACCTGATGCTGATGAAAATCTACAGTCTTTTTGGCATCAAACGTAAACATGCAAAGGACACCCGGGAGTCCGACGTGAGCGGCGGATGTGGCTTGGCCCAAAATAACAGCAGAAATATCTTCAGCACTTCTTCTCCTGATGCCAACATTTTTCAGATGTCTGACAAATAC